CGCTGGGCGATGCCCCGTGTCCGCCCCGCAGCTCCATCACCCCTTTTGCCCCAGGACACCGCTTGTGCCCGTTCCTCCCGTGGAACAGCAGCGATCCCGGCGGAGCCGCCGCGGGCGCTGCTCCCTTCCCACGCCGGGATGTCCCCAGCGCTGCTCTGCTGGCTCGGTGCTGCCCACGTAAATACAGCATAAACCTGTGTGCTCGACAGTTCTCTTTGAATCGATGATGCTAACCAGGTCCGCACCGAGGTGCTGGAGTTCAGCTTGCAATGCCCTCACAATGCAGTTCAGCAGGTTTGCTCTGTGTGTGTGTTCAGGACGTGGCTTGAAGGTATCGATGGAATTTAATGTAGTTTTGGCACATGTAATTGGTGTCTGAAAACTAGAAGCCAATAGTTTAAGAACAGATTTGACTACAAAAACAGAAAAGGAGACCAGAATTTATTCTCAAACCATTTTTTCCTCATACATCAGTCTGTCATTAACATTAATAGGATTGCTCTGCTATACTCATGAGGCAAAGTACAGTTGTTTCAAGATGAACTCCTACTGAATTTTCTTCCCTGTGATATAAAATATTTAACTGTCAAAAAGAATCGGGATTAAGACCGATACAAGATCTGATTTCCTTTCAAAGTAGTGTTTGCACAGTTTCAGGCTGCCTTCCTCTCTAGGATGGCTCAAGGAAAAGAGGAAATGGCTGCAGGTTTTGTCAGGGGAGGTTTAGATTGAATATTAGGAAAATTTTCTTTGTGGAAAGGATGGTCAAACATTGGAACAGGCTGCCCAGTGAAATGGTGGAGTCACCATCCCTGGAAGTGTTTAAAAAACATGTAGATGTGGCATTTGAGGATGTGGGTTAGTGATGGCCTTGGCAGTGCTGTGGGAATGGCTGGACTTGATGATTTTAGTGCGTTTTCCCAACCTGAATGAGCGTCTAATTGTAATATTTTTATCTGACTTGGTTATGGCAGAGCCATTCCCGCTGTTTCCAAGCTGTTAATCCCTCTTTTGCAAGATGTAGGGCAGGAGTGTAAACACTGGGTCTCACCTCCCAGATAAGTGATCTGCTCACCTAGGCAGGATGATAGCCTGAATTGCAGTCAATTAATTAAATATTCATTGGAGTAAACACTGCAGTCCCAGGCTTCCTCTGCCTAGATAAGTGTGAGCAGTGATTACAGACTCAAATGCTGTCGCTGCCCTATGAAGGATGTTTAATTTTCAACATCTCTTTTAGTCACTGAATCCATTAAGCCCTGCTGATGAAAACTAATTTCTTGCTGAAGTGTTTTGCTGGACGAGACTTTAAAGACAAGAGGGTGTAGCTCAGTCAGGCTCTGTGTGGGTTGCAGTTTCAGCGGTGGAGAGGGAAGGTGCCTAATACAGATTATTAGGAAGTTAATAAAGAAGAAAACAGTAACTAACAGGGAAGTCACACACTTGGTGCTGAATGGGAGTTGGCAGAGAGAAGCCCTGGGAGGGGTGTAGGACATTCCCAGGAGCTGGTTCAGTTGCCCTTTGAGCTGATTGTGAAGTGAATAATGGAACGATACCAAACTCACATCCGTGTTTTAATGGAACACAAGCATTTTTGGTCAGTGGCAGCCCAGAGCTGTAGTTAAAGCTTTGTACTGCTGGTAAAGCAAAGGGCTCTTGGAGCAATATTTAATTTGCTCCTGCAGACCTTGTGTGGATTAATGATAAATGTCTGTGTCCCTGGTGTTTAGTCACGTGGTTGGTGTGTGCTCCTGTGTTCATGTATGTTTGTAGGGAGAATGAGGGAGGGAGAATTTGAATTTGAAAATTGGTGTGTGCACAGGGCACAAGTGTGGGCATTTTTGGGGGTTCGGGATTCAGGGTTGGTTTTGCTTTTTTGGTGTAACTTTGTAGAGGCCAAATGCTGCTCCCAGCTATGGCAGGCTTCATCTGGTTTAATTCACAGCAAATTTTGCTCTGCTTGATCTAAGTGAAGAATGTTGTTTAGAGTAATTTCTGTTCCAGTATGGCTTATATGTACGAACCCCTTCACCATGGTCATGAAAAGGCACATGCAAGTTGTTTGCTGTTAGAGCAGAGGGCAAAACCCTGACAGGCTTTGTAGGGGTTGTCTGTCTGTGTGAGAAATTCTGTCTTTCCACAGCTGGGCTCAGTTCTGTGACGTGCAAAAGGCTCTCGTGAAAGTGGTGTAACATTAACCAGCTTTAGGGTTGGTCTGTGTTGTAAAAGCCTTCAAACACAGCCTGCCATTTCCCCATTTCACCTGCCAAATGGAACTCATAAATCCTGGTTAGATGACTGGATTGCTTGTAATTAGCAAGACAATGTGCTATGGATAAAGGGTCTTGACAGAGGTGGAATTCTCACTTTCATCGCTGGGTTGGCTGAAGTGAAGACAAAAGTGGGCAACAAAAGTGAATTTACTGATTGCTTCTGCACAACATTGCACACACTAAGTGGATGAATCTATCAATTTATTTTTTTTTTAAATTTAAAAATTTTAAAGACTAGCAAAAATATTTATGAAAGTGTGTTACCTTTAGAAATTATCCTTATAAATCCGATGGCAGGGGGTTGGAACCGGATGATCTTTATGGTCCCTTCCAACTGAAACCATTCTGTGACTCCATAAAATAGACCCAAATTGGCTGGTCAGGCTGTTAAAAATTCCAAACCCAGTCGTGCCACTGAAATACACAACAGCACTGAGCTCTCCCCTTTGGAATGCCACATTCCCCTTCCTTCTCCAGTGTAGAAAATACTGCATCTCCAAAGCATTGCTGGAAATGAGAGAGTAGCCAGAGCTGTGGCCCTTGGGAATGATGGAAAATGAAGTAGCAGCTCCAGAGGCCTTGGAGGTGGCAGCTGGTTGTGCAGAGCCATGTGTGGGGCAGTCCAGGCTGGCACAGACACAGGGTCCCCTCCCAGCCTGTGCCAGCCCAGCCTGCTCGGCAGGAATGGGAGGAAGGGCAGGCAAATCTGTGTTTGTAAAGCAGTGAGGGAAGTGTATCTGCATCAAAGTTCTCTGGAAATGAAAGAGTTTGGGTATCTCAAAAATAAGCATAATTCTATCCAAGCAAAACATTCTTAGGTTCCATATATTATTGCACATAGGACTAGAGTGTCCTTGTGAATATTATAAGGGCCCATTTAAACTTAAAATACTCCAGTCTTCTCCGTTCTGGATGTGTTCCTCTGGGAGCACACAGGTAACAAGGTAAAATAACTTCCCTTGTTATCCTCCCTAAACCAGTGAGAGTTACGTATCCCACAGCCCTGTGGCAGTGTGGCTCACTCCATGCAGGTTTGTCCAACCTCCCAGTGAATTCAAAGAGTGTTTTTTGTGTCACACACAATGGTTATCTGGTTCATGTGCCGTTCTGTCAGCGCTGAGTGAAACAATCCCTGCTCTCCCACGGCACTCGAGTGTCGCAGCTCCGAGTGCTCCGGGATGGACGGGGCCAGTGACAGGCACTGGGATCTGGGCTGTGCCTGCTCTGAAACTGGGCTGGAGGAAGGACCAGCGGGCGTTCATTTGTTGAGTATTTTACTTTTCAGTTCAAATCCTGCAGGTGTCAGTGGTGCAGGACTGGGCTGTGAGTTCTAGAGCTCTGTGTCATGTCCTGGTACAGTCCGTGGGTTCCCTTCCATGTCAGACCTCCCTCTGGACAGTGTGGGAGGAGCACTGAGCAGCTTTCTAAGCTTCTGCAGCAGTTATTATTTTAAATTTTGTTTTAGTTTTTTAATTTTGAAATGTCTTAATTCCTGCAATTGCTGCTAAAAGAGTTTCTTTTCTACTTTGGCTTCTCTTTCCTGGTGCTGTTATGATTCACTTTTGGGAGATTTGGAAAACTGCTCCAGGCTTCCTAAACTTATGCAACAGCTCACAGGAAAGCTGACCTACTTCAGAGCTGCTCTCACCCAGCTGACAATGTCTCCAAGACTGAACTGCAGCCACATAAACTTCCCCACGGGTTTGGGGAAGAAGTGATTTATTATGAAAATTGGAGGTTTGTGCTGTGAGGAAAAATAATCAGGGTGCTGTAAACTAATAAGTTGCCAAATCCTTAGATTGGATTAAGTGGGAATGTTGCTTGCTTGGATAAGGTATTGGTTGTGGAGACCTGAAGCAATGTGTGCAATTTGTTAGAGCTGGTGGTGGCCCACGGGATGGGGGATAATGTCTGCAATTGCTTCTGGATGGTGCTGGGGAAAAAGGGAAAAAATATGTTTGAAAAATGAACAAAGCTGCTGCCACTTATGGATTCCTGTAATTTAAAAAGGCACTTCTCATTTTTCACTCAGGAATGGGCAGATGTTCCATGTGGGCACCATTTCCATAGCTGGCAGTTGTGAAGTTGTGCCCTCTGGGTATAACCCAGTGGGGTTGGTGGGCAGCTCCTCTGCCCTTCTATTTCTGAATTTAGGCAAAATACAAATTTTCTTCCCTCAGTGAAACAAAAAGTGTTGAAGATGCACCTCCATTTACACCAGCTGACCTTGGTATGTAAAATGAAAAATCGAAAGTGAAGGAGGGTGTCTGTGGAACCAGGGAGAGGGAATCCATGGAGACCTTGTCCAGTTTTGATTTGTAGCCTGTTCTGCTGCACTCAGAGAAAATAAGGACTGATTCCATCACACCTGCTAGGAGGTGATTGAGAAAACCCAAACTAACAAAAAGGAGAATGATGGAATGGGTGTTGCTGTGCTGGGCTAATTCCTTTGGGGTGGGAAGGCCCTGGATTTAAAACATCTCCAGGTGATTGTGGCCCATGGATCCCAATATATTTACAGCCAGTGACTGTATCCAGATTACTTTGGGAATCCATGTGGTCCTGAGCTCTGCCAGAAATGTTTTGGAGGTGGAAGTGCAGTAATACTGAACCTTTGCTTATTTTCCTCCTTGCAGGGCACTATTCGAAGGATCATTATCGAGAATCCTGACCAGGTAGGAAAGTGTTCAGTGCTGGAGTTCCCTCAGTTCCCCTCATTCCATGAAGTGCCCAGCTGCATCCTGTAGGGATGATAAATACTTTGGGATCACACAGCTCACACCTCTGATGGTGACAGATGGAATTACTGGGAATTGAAAACACTGCACAACGGCCAGTCAGGCTTCCACCCCTCAGCAGTGAAGTTTTATTAAGATTAATTACTAACTGTTCCACTATATTTATTTCACGTGGTCTCCATGGAAGCACAGCCACTTAGTTTCCAAATGGACATACACTCAAACGGACACATCCTAAAGGAATGTCTTACAATACATGTGTCTTCAAATTACAAAAATCCCTTGTAGTTTTTTAGTCAAAATCACACTAATCCTGAATTTGCTGTTTGACAACGTTTATGGATGTTTTTATTTACAGGTTTTACAGGAGCCATTATCCCCATTTCTCAGAGCGGGGACTTTCGGCCCTGGAAATAATGTCATCTATGAAAAGACAATAAGGAAATATGAGCTATTAAATCCCCTCCAAGTAAGTTGAGTGTTTATATTATCTGTTTTAAAAAGCAAATTGATATTTCTGGGTTGGTTTGGTTCTGGTTTTTTGTTTGGTTTTGTTGGTAATAGCTGCCAACCTGAGAATTGCCTTGCTGTGATACAGGACACAATCTGAAAGTAAATGAAGCAATATTTATGGAGAGCAGAAACTGAAATGTTTGCTTTATAATTCCTAATAATTTATTCTTTCAGAATAACAAACTGCTGTTGTATCTCTGACACTGTCAGTCAATATCTGAATAGTGACTGAGAATTGGTTTCTTGCAGTAGCTCCACAACAGAACAACCAAGATAATTTTTTACAAAAAGGGCATTAATAAGACAATTTTTTTTTGTTTTACTCTTGAAAAAATGTATTTGGCAAAACTGTCTGGATTTTCATCTTAGAACTGCTGTTTTGTCAATAGCAAAAATACTACTCCTTTTTTATTGCTCTGAAACATTTCCCAAGGAGAAAAGAATTGAAATTAAGGGTATTTCAGAATGGTTTATCTGGGTTTTTTTACTTTGTTATTTAAAACTGAAGTTTTTGTGCCACTCCGGATTTTAATAGGTGAATTAGGTGTAATACCCATTGTCTGAAGTGGAAAAGGGGAGTGAGAGGGGGAGGTAATTATAAATAATAGCTTTTTTCTTTCCACAGCTGGTGTGGAAAGAAAATAATAAAAAATTGTGGACTCATATTTTCACTTCTGGTTTTTTTTACCCGGGGTATATCTAGATTTAAGTCAAATCAGGAGTGTAGTTTTGAAGAAAATTTCCACATGTGGTTAAACACGCCATGAGAAAGGTGTCTCTTCTGTGCTTCTCACTTGCAGCCTCCAAAATGTGAGGGGCTGGTGAATTCCAGCCCTGAAGTATGAAAGCGTGAGGCAAACTCATGCTCAGCTAGGAAAAAAAATAAAGGCAGTTTTATTGGGATTATTAAAATATCTGAACCCGCCATCAGCCTTCCCAGTCCCAAACACATTCCATTCATCTCGGTATCGAGCTCCCGGCTCACAGAGCCGTGTCCAGCAGCTGAGAACACCCTTTTTGTTGGCAGGAGAAGCAGTTCCAGGTGTCCCAGCTGTGCCAGCAGGCAGAGCAGTGCCAGCCCTGCCCGGAGCCCACCCCGGTCACCCAGCAGTGCCAGCACACCCAGACCAACAGCCCCAGCGAGGTGTTCCCGGTGTTCCCGGCGCCGGGGAGCGATGACTGCCGGGGCCACACCGTCAGGAGGGTCCCCCTGCACTCCTGCGAGCAGGTGAGGGCCACGGGCTGAGGGTTCTGCTGCTCCTTTGGTTTGGGGGCAGAGGACAAAATGTGGGGGATGAAGGGGTTTGTGTGTCCGTGATCCCCGGGTTGGGTTCAGACCCTTCACAGGTGATTCCTTACAAGTGTGTGGTGCTGAAACAGCAGAGTCCAGGGGTGTGTTGCAGGTAACTTTGTGTGCTTGTTGCAGACTGCTCTGGGACTGTCCAAGGCTCTCTCCTGTGCTGTTGGGGTGGAAAAAGGCTGGTTTAGGTGTTGTATCCTATTTCTTGTTGGCATAGACCTGTGCTCAGGTGTCCTGAGCATCATTCCAAGGTCCTTTAATTGTGTAAAGTCTTGATGATTTGTTTGGTTTTGTTTTTCTTTGTCTGGGAGCATTACCATTGACTGAGTCAGGTTTCCTCTGTCAGTCTGTACAACAAAGACTGAGGGATGCACAGCTTCTGCCCCTAGTTTTGGAGAAAAGACATGTTGTTCTATAACCTTGACAAGCATCAGTTCAGGATTTCTTTCCTCCTACACTGATCAACAAGGGCTTCAAATGTATTTCAATTTGATGCAGAAGTTTTTGACACAGATTCACTGGAAACACTAAATGAGCTTTCAGTTGTACCTGTACCCTGTTAGTGGAGCTGGGGAGGGAGTGCAGTCCTTCCTGAGCCCAGTCAGTGTTTGGGTGACAAGACAAACATCCTGGGGACCTTGGTGTTGGACCTGTGCAGAACCTTCATTGCCAGGCACTCCCATAGACCAGCTCGGGCACACTTGGCTTGGGCTGCCTCTGGAATTCTTTTGTTGTTCACACAGGAAAATATTTGGACTGTGCAGTGCAAACCCCACTGCTGCCCTGGGGGATCCTGCACCCGCCTGGTCCCATCTGGGTGCTGCCCACGGGGGTTTTATCCACCTCAGCTGTGGCAGCAGGTGTCTGACAGATTTCCTAGTTCCCAACACTTCCCATTTTAGCATCCTGACGATCACATTGCTGTGGAAGAGAGTACTTTGCCTACTTGTTGTTGTAAAGGAAGTCATTCATTTCTGTACAGTTTACTGAGAACCAGGAGACACAAAAGACTCGTTACCAAGGAAAAGCACAGCGTAAACAAACTGCAAATTAGTTCGAGCAAACAAGCCCAAATCCATCATACCTGTAGCATTCTCGTGCTGAGCTTTCACCCCAAAGAAGGGAGCTCCATTCTGACCTCCCTGCCTGTGTCCTGCCAGGTGAACTGCTCCCAGGAGAGCCCGGACCAGCTGGACTGTCGCTACTTCGGGGAGCTCCTGGCTGAGCTGCACCGCAAGGGCAACGACCTGTACAGCTGTTTGCTGCAGCACGTGGAGAAGATTGGAGGCAGGTACTGGCATTGGACCTGTGCTGCCATTCCCATATCCCAGGAATCTGTGCACTGCACAGCCGAGAGGACAGTGCTGGTTGAGACCTGTGCTCTTTTTTTTTTTTTCTTCCCGGACAACTAGAATTGACTGCATGTTTTACACGTTCATAATTTGCAGAGTAACTGAGGACATAAAAATGCTGCAAGCCAAGGAAATGTATTGAACTTGATGCTTTTTCAAATTCATTAAGGAATAAGTATCCTGTGCCTGTTTGCACATTGAGCAAACAAGTACCTACAGCACACTCTGACTTATATTTAATGACATGATTCTATTGCTGGGTTCTGAAAAAATGGCCCAAGAATCCAAACTTCCTCTGTCCTGTTGTGCTGCTGTGTCATAAAAGACAGCCACCATGAGGCATAAAGCTCGGTCTCTACATGCAAATTAACATCAAGCACGTTTTCTGCAGAGCCCTGCAGACTGTCTGTGGGAAGAAATGCAGAGTCACAGCAACCAGGGCTCTGGGGCTCCACAGCCTTCCCCTCACAATCCCCTTCACTCCCAACCCCCTTCACTCTTCCCTCTCACTTCCAGTCTTAGTGCTTCCCAAAGCCACTGAAATGAGGAAAGTGGTCCTGTAGCAGGGAAAAGGGGAATTTAACCATCACAGAACCCCTGGTGCTGCCAAGTAAACACTTTCAGCATGTCAGTGGATTGCAGCAGAGTTGTGGGCAAACCATTACCCAGGCAATTAATGTAATTGGCTTAACTGCCCATAATTGAGGTAACTGCCCAAAGAAATGGGGACAGTCAGCCTGTGTCAGCTGTGCTGCTGTTGGTACTCCAGGCTCCTCAGGAATTTCCCCATGGAGTGATGTTTGACAGCTCACATTGCCTGGCACCTCAGAGGGAAGGAAACAGCTCTTCAGCTGATGAAGCCCCTTCCCTGCTCAGTGTTTTATAGACAGGCTTTCAGCGTTGAATGTGGGTGTGAATTCTTAAAGTTCTCAAGCAGCTTTTTGTTAATGGATCCTTTGGATTTTGTGTTTTACAGGAACCATGACATCGAGTTCACGTCTCAGGTGAGCACAGGCTGTCCCCTGGTGTCAGTGCTGATACCAGTGAGGGGGGGCTGCAAGGGAATTAAGCCAAGCTCAAACCTCCATAAAGGAGGCTGGTCTTTGTTAGTGAATGATTCCTGCTTGGCATTAATATTCAAAGCCTGACACCTACTGCCAGGCAGGTATTTGCAAATGTGATAATGCTGAAAGGAAACTTCAGTAATTTGCATTATTCCAATACGAGAGTCAAATTTTAGAAGTCTTCCCTGCAGTGTCAATAATGGTTTCAGTGGAAAACAACTTGCACAGGTACCTGTATTCCACAGTGTGCTTTTGAAAAGGATCCTTCACTCTCTTGCCAGTAAAGCTGCTGCTGAGCAGCACGAGCTGCACCTTTAAAGGCACTGTGTGTGTGGCAGAAATACTTGTCCAGGGTTCAACTGCAGACAGCAAATGCCATTGAATAGCTGGCACAACCTCCTGTTGGTCACCTCGTGTTCAGTGAGTCTGTCCACTGGTCAGAAACACGAGATTTGACCCCACCATAAGCTGCTGGGAGTTGCTGTAGCATCAGCTGTTTTTTCTTGGGAGAGGATTGGTTTGAATACTGTTTTTAAAATAAATGTGGAACTCGAGGATTTGAATATATGCTTCGTGTACCACTTCATCTCACTTTGTATATGCCCCAAATATAAAAGGCTGGAATTTTTTTTAAATATTCTTTAATCTATTTTCATTCTTATTTGCCTTGTTCTAAACATGTTTTTCATAGTAGGGTTGTGTAATTAATGAAGAAACCACATTACTATCTACCAGGCAAAATTCTTAATCAAGATGTCTCCCCTTTCTTCCCTTCTTTGCTTAGACTGAAGATATTGAAGAATTAATTCCCAAAGGACTGTCTGAGGCAACAAAGCAGCAGATTCGTTATCTCCTCCAGGTATGGGAGTGTGGAAGCCAACAGGAACTTGAAACAGCAGTTGGCTTACCCACAGCAGGGACTTTGTACATAACATACTTAAGAGTTCACTCTGTATTCCCCTCATTCCATTTTTCTGGTGTGCAGGGGATGGAATGCTCCAGGTGGCCATGAGGGAAGTGTGGCAGCTGGACCCACAGTCCCATTTTTTAAACTGAACTTTACTGGTGCTTTCCTGCAGTTTCACTGGAAACTGTCTTGGCTTTTGATCACCGACAACAGAACTGAGACCTTTCATCTTTCTGTCTGTGTTGTGTATTAATACTTTGCTTTAAAAGCCAAAAACAAACAGTAGGCGCTGAAAACACATGACAGAAAGTATTGCAGTGCTGGGAAACAACTAAATGCCAGCCAGGAGCAGAGCCTGCATCCCAACTGCTCACAGCCCAACCCCATGGCTGGGGAGGGAGCTAAAGAACCAGATCAGGAGGACAAAAGCCTTTACAAATGGAACCACAGCAGGAGTGGGGCTGTTTGTTACCCAGTGCCACAAGCACAGCTCAGCACTTAGTGCTGCATTTGCCAGGCAGGAATGTTGGAATAGGATCCAGAACAACCTGCACTGCTCTGCAGGTGTGTCCTGAGCCAGGCTCCCCGAGGTGGGGGTAGGGTGATCCTACTTGGGAGCTGCACCTTGGAGTTGCTTCCTGTTAAAAAAATATCCATTGAAATGAAGTTGGGAACAAGCAACCTGGTCTGAGCTCAGAGCTTGTCTTGCTTTAAGCAGGAGGCTGGGACAAGATGAGCTCCCAAATCCCTTCCAGCTTCTCTTAGAAGGAAGATGGACATCAACACCCAAGTGATTGCTGAGTGGGGTTTTACTTAAGTTTTATAGTCTAAATTCAAATATTTTGACTTAATTCCTTCTTTTAAACTGCTCTATAGTGTATTTAACAATAAACCCAACAAAACCCAGAAGTCAAAACTGAAATTCCACTTTTATTAAAAAACAAAGAGGTGAGTGACACCAGAAATGGGATTTTTGAAGCCTCAGTTACACAATGGCACCAGTGGGGATAAAAAAATCACACAAGAGCCAATCCCCACATGGATGGAACTGTGAGCACATCCTTCAGCTGGGATGAGCAACAAATCAAGGGAACAGACAGGAAGGTTCACTTTTGTCCAGGCAGTAAAAACCACAGCTTTTGCACAGAATATTCAGCCCTTCCAGGTGAGTCACAACTTAAGGATTTACTCGTGTGTCCTTTCAAAGTCTGTATTTCTTCTTTAAAATACCAGAAATGTATCATGAAATGCAACAACTTGTGTTTTCACCTGAATCAACAGACAGCTGTTACAGGCATTAAAATTAACATTCCAAAGGAGAACAGTGCTTGGCTGTGATGCACTTCTGCCTTTTTCTTTCATCCAGGTGACTCCTTTCATCTTTGGGATCTTTCTCCTTTTAATGGGAGGAGTTGGTTGTATGAACTTTTTTAATTTAAATTTTTGAAAATGTTAATTAAATTCCCTCACCCTTGAGCCCAAAGCCTTGCCAGATCTCAGACACGACTCATTCCATGGCTTCTCAGGCAGGGCAGTAATTTTTTAAAATCAGTGTAAGCATAAAGCTTTGAATGCTCAAGCAATGATCGTGCAATATTAGCACGTGCATTTTCCCCTTTATTGGTATACAAAGGCAGTTCCTTACTCTCTTGTTCCTTCCATTTTAGAATGTTGTCCTGTGTTGCAAGGCAGCAATTTAAAACTATGGCATTTGCAGAACAAAGTGCATGAAAATGTGTTTCTCGTAGAAATTGTGGGCATTTCAAAGGATGTGCAGTAGTTTAAAACTGATTTTCAGCTGTACAGCAGTTTCTGTTCTACCTCTTGTCAAGCATATTGTAAACAGAGCTAATGAATCCCAATTATCCATTTCATTTTGTAAACAGAGCTAATTAATCCCAATTATCCATTTCATTCTTTCTCTCCTAGATGAGAGCGACGTCGGATAAATCCCTGAGACTTGTGCTTTCCACTTTCAAGAATCTCCGGGAGGAGCTGTGCCATTTGCAGGATGACCTGGGGGTGAGCAGGTTCCTCCCTTCCCAGGGCTCATCCACCTGTTTTCCCTGGCAGCAGGAGTCCAACGCTGACATTCCAGTGCTGGATCCAGGCTGGGGCTGCTCTTGTTCACAAGGCAGAGGAGGTTGGATGGTGCTGGTGGCTTTGGCAGCTCCAGAGGTTCTCTGGGTACAGCATCCCAGTCTGGAAGCTGGAGCTCTGTGGCTGTGGATACAGAGAGCTGTCAGGGAAGCAGAAATGTTTCCCACACCAGCCCAAGTGCTTGGCACCACTGGGAATGTCACAGCATTCTCCTGTAACATGCAAAGTTTAGGGAGAGGGTGTTTTAACTGTCATCTTTAACAGAGAACAAGGAGCTCTTAGTTTTAGGTTGGTTGGGGTTTTTTTTCTTTGTTTTGTTTTTCTTTTTTGTTTTTCTTTTTTGGTTTTTTTTGGATGGGATTTTTGTTTGTTTGTTTTCAGGCTTTTGTTTGGGTTTTTTGTTTGTTTGGGATTTTTCTTGTTTGTTTTTGTTGGCTTCTGTTTAAATTCTTTCTGGGGCAGACTGGAAGAGCAGTGTCCAGGATCCCACAAAGCCACAGACACTGCAGTGTGTCCTATGTTGACTATTTTCTCAGTTCTAGAACACCCCCTCAGTGTGTTGCACTTCATGGGAAGAGTTCACTGAAAAACTGGAGCTGTTGACTGTGAACACTTTTGTCCCACAGAAGCTGGAAACCGACAATGTCTTGCTGAAGAAGGATTTGGCTTTTAAGGATTCTCAAGTAAAAGAATATGAAACCATGTTGGCTTCTCTGAGGGAGAACAATCGTCAGCAGCAGGTAAATCCAAATGTAATTCAGATTTCAGTGTAATTCCAGTCGGCCAAAAACTGGGCAGTTTGCTGACATTTGGGTATTCTCTGCTGGCTGGTGTGTGTGGTGCTGTTACTGCCTTGAGGAGCTCGTGCCCTCATTCCCTGTGTGTTTTGCAGCAAGGGCTGAGGGACAGCACTGCCAAGTGCCGCTCTCTGGAGGAGCAGCTGCTGTCGCTGCGGCTCAGCGAGGGCGACAAGGACTGTCAGCTGAAGGAGCTGGAGTACGGCAAGAGGGCCCTGGAGCAGGAGATCCAGAGCCTCAAGCTGCAGGTAACACTCACCTGCTCTGGGGGCAGGAGCTGGTACTCACAGACAGATCAAAGTATGAAAATAAAACTATTTATTCCCTGCAGAGCTGCTCCAGCCCCACACTCCAGACCACCACAGATGAGCTCTCCAGCCGATACGTGGAGATGATCAACAACCTGAGGGAGGACAAGGACCGGGAGATCCGCAGCCTCAGGGTGAGTGGTTCCACCTGGCACGTGTGTGGGAGCAGGAAAAGAGCTGCTCTTGTCCTTAACAACAAGAATGAGCTACCACAGGTACCTTTTGGGTATCTTTTGGTTCTGCAGTTACTTTATTCATAGACACTAAGAATGGCTCAGAAACCCTTCTATAGAACATAAAACTGTGATTAAAAAAAACCCCCAACATTCGTTAGATGTAGAAATTGGGATCAGTCCAATTAGCAGGCTTTCCTAAAGGGTTATCTTGTGCATCCTGATAAGGTAAGGAATTAGTCAAAAGACTGAGTTATTAAACTATTAAACTGATACTGGGTTGAATTCAGTCCAATCAGCACTTTCTGAATTTACTGTGCTGCTCAACTTTCTGAGTTGGAAATCACTGGGTCTTACTGTTCATGCTGGTAATGAAAAAATACACCCTTCCTGCCTGGAGCACATGCTCCTGACTGCTCTGCTCCCTGCCTGTTTTGCAGTCCCAGTTATGCCAGTTCCAGCAGGACATCTCCAGGAGGGAGGGGAGCAACAGTGACTTGCAAATGAGGCTGCACGAACTGACATCAATGCTAGAGGACAAAGAGGCTTTTATTAAACAACAGCAAGAGGTAAAATAATACAAGTTGTTTCTCTTTTAAGAGGCTGTGTATTAAAACCTCCATGTCCTGTGTAGGTGGAAGCTCACTGGGTAGTCACTTGTCCTCTCCTGGCTCAGGAATCAGGGTTAGGATTTGTTCTAACTGAATCCTCTGCCAGCCTTCTGGAAGGACAGACTTTTCACACTGTTCTCTGGGAGGAATTTCTGCAAATGTTTTGTAGCAACTTTATTGAACTGATGCTTCAGAAAACATTTCCTGTGAATGTTTTCTGTTGGTTTTCTCAGGAGCTCTTCAGACTGAAGCAGGAGAAGTTATCGGGCAGTCAGTCCCCTGGAGTGACAGCCATCATCACTAAAAAGTAACGTGGTTATTCACCTTCCTTAAAAATACATCCTTTGGGTTCTCCTTTCTCTCCTCTCTGCTAATCAAGCTGTTCCTGCAAATGTCTTAATCCTGCCCGTTCAACCTAAAGGGGAAAAAGACAAGAGAGGTTTCCCTGTACAGGGAGGGTTCAGCACTGGGAGGGGGGTCCAATGTGTCACAGTGACACTGAAATGTCTCTGCTGGCTTTGTGCAGCTCTTGGGGGATTAAGGACTGGCAGGGCTGTGGGGCAAGGTCACAGTTAGGGATTTGGACACAGGGCTGCAGATCTCATTCTACAAGTTGGCAATTCTCTTTCACAGGTACAGGAATCAGTATCCTATTCTGGGCCTCCTGTCTGATGACTACAAGGTCACATCACCTGTCAATAAATCCCAAACTATTGTCATTGAGAGGACTGGGGAGATATGGAAACACGTAAGTTTACCTGGAGAGGGGCTGTTCCCTCCCAGCAATCCCCAAGTGTTCAGTTTAACTCCAAAGCAAGTATTGGCCAAACTGGCAGCTGAGAGAGGCTCTCATGGTAATTTAACTCTGCAAAAAGCAAAGTGACTGATTACACTCAAGGAACTGTCCCGGCTCTTGCAAGCTGCAGTAATTGGTGGGTGGGGTACAAATAAAACCTTTTGTTGTTTTCTCCGGCATGCAATTACCTTGAACAAAAGCAGCAGCGTTGCTCTAACACCAGTCCCGAGGGTGTTGCTGTACTGGGCAGGTGGGAGGGATGTGTCCCTGCTGTGCTCTCAGGTGAGAGGAGGGTTTTGGGTGGGCAGTGCTCCTTTGAATCAGCAGCATTAATGACTCCAAGCTATTACTAAAACATACTAAACACCACATCCCTGAAACTCAGCTTGAGCCAGGGCAGTGGCTAACCCAGGAATGCAGAAAAGTGGTGTCACTTTAAGCAGTGATTCAGAGTGCAAATAGAAAATAGGGCTGCAGAAGCTATTTCTGTTACAGGGCACGGGCTCGTGGTGCTGAGTCTGCTTACACCAGACTCAAAATAAAGTCCAAGGCTGGAGAAATGTCAAGGTGCTGGTCCCCAACCAGGTGTTCTGGTGCCTGCAGGTGCAGTGACACAGCAGCACATGGACATGGGGGTTAACAGTGTGGTTTGGGGGGATACAACCAAGAGACAGTCAAAGGGTAACACACCTGGTGTATGTTACCTGCAGTGGGATTAAGTAAGTAAAAGGCAGAGGTCATTGGCAAACAGCAGAGTTTTATTACTGATGCCTAAAACTCACCAAGTTGCATTGCAACCTAGTGAAATGTCAAGCAATTAAACATTAATAAAAAAGTTAAAAAATAAAGAGTTTGGTACAGAAGAAGGGCTCACTGGTTCCCTCAGACACTCAGGCTGCTGGAGAAAACAAGTAAGATGCTTTATAACAGGTAGTTTTGTTTTAAAACAGAACTAAGTTTGTTTCTAACTAGCTGTTTGTTTCTTTCAGGACTGAAAGAAACCTCTGGGCCATCAGAGCTGTTTGAAGGAGTTCACAGCCACTCCACCTGCTTTACTTTCTGCTACTCTGCACCCAGAAAAGGTTCAGTCTGCCAGTGAGGAGGGCTGGGAACACACTGAGGACTCACTTTTCCCTCAGAAGAGCAGGATGCCATCCCTCTGTGGACTTCAGCTTTTCTTGACTAACTCCTGTTCTTCAGCCAGTCCTGAAGTGATCTAAGAGACAGAAGGAAGACACCTGAAACCTTTTCCTCTTTGTTCTGGTAGCCATATTCCTCTGTCCTGTCTCCTCATGCTGAGAGTGGGAATGGCACCCATGTCAGTCCCACACATCATGGGGCTGCTCCCAGTGCAGTCTCAGGCTGCCATCTGGAGATGATAAAAACCCCAGAAACCACCTTCACAGGGAACTTCAAAAATACCTCACTGAAAACTGCTTACCTTCACCTGCCTCTGTGTGGGAAGCTCAGACACAAAGGACAATTACTTAACTTACAGCAGCCACACAACTCCTCAACCCCAGCTTCTGAACTGGGAAATGCCAGCAGGATCCAGTTCAGTGAATGGTTGGGCAAAGGGTCATTTTAGAGAATGTTTCTGACCTCAGAGGTGATGTATGTTCAACCCCAAACCAGCTGTAAGTATTTATTTGCTGTGCTTGAAATTTTCAAGAACTTGGCATATTTTTATATAGAAGAACTTTGTATGAAAATAGCTCATGGACTAAATTTCCTCATCAGATCAACCTGCCTTTAACAATTTCTGCTCCTTCCAGGCCCACAGCAATTCTTTCAAAATAATTCAGTATTCATGAGTAAGTTGTTGTCTGAGCAACACAGCACAGAGAATCACAGGGCAAAGTTTAAACCAAAGGTGCTTTTTATAGTGGGGTTCTTGCTTTGCTTTACTTCTGCAGCCATTTCTGTTCACAAATAATATATAGCACAGGCAATGCTGGAGGATACGTGTAACCATGAAATAAACCCAAGTGTAACTTTCTGAATCACGTCTGTCTGTCCTGGAAACAGCTGGAGTGGGGAGTGAGGTGGTGCCCTGTTCCTCCACGTGAGTCTTGACAAGTGAAGGACCAGTGGTGGGTCCCTTTCCTGGCCCCTGATCCCAGGCCTCCCCAGAGGTGATGTTGCATGTCCAGCTGTGCTCGTGCTTTTCAGAACTGGAGAAAGAGCCACAGGTAAAACCTACTCCTGGTGCTGCTCTTTGAGTGTGTCCAGGCTGAGATGGGCCAGGAATTTCAGGAACCAAGTAAGAGTTTGCACCAGCAACTGTCAACCACTTCAGCCTGGCTCTACAGAAAGAGGGTTAAATTAGTTAAATCCTATCCTTTGCATGAGGATGGCCATGCCCATCTGAAACCAATTATTATTCTAAAACAACTCCCCCTTTCTGTAGAGCAGTGACACGTGGGGTGCACCTACAGAGCTAACAAAGTAGTCAGTGTCTTCTATCCCAATAAATAATCTTACTTAGACTGTCCCTAAATGACTTTTCACCTTTGGTGATCTACAAAAAAAAAAGGCTTAAAAGAGGCAGAAGGCCATGTTTGTCTAATGCCATCCCTTACCTGTGCCTGACTGGGCAGGGGTCCTGACTGCAGGTGCCCCAGGAGCACAGGTGCCTCACTGTGGTTGTGCTGGGCAGGGCTCTGGAGAGGCTGCAAAGAGCAGAAATGTGAGTTACTGATGGGCACAGTTACTGTGGGCTGGTGTCAGCCATGCAAGGGCAGTGCATATCCACTGCCCATGCCCTCAGTGACACCAACCTGTGTTTCCTCAACTCCCTGGCACAGCAAAACCCACGCAGGGAACGCCCCTGAGGGCAGACACAGACTCTGAACAGGAGTTCCTGGGTGTGGTGGGACAGTTCCCCAACAAAGGCCACCACTAGGCAAATAATGTGTTTTGCATATGCAGCTGGCAGAATGGTAAATCCCAGTGAAAACAGCACACCTCTTCCCCACACTGGAGCAGAGAGGCACGGGCAACCTGTTCAAAACAAGCCCAGTTTGCTGCTCAGGACAGGTGGCTGTACTGGAGGGGTAGCAGGCTCAGCCCCTTGAAGGCTTGGGGGTGTATTTGTAGACTCTGCACTGTAAATGCTACAGAGCACAGGTCATAACTACACACTGTACTCACAGATAAAGCAACAGAGAGTTGTTAGAAAGCTGAATTAGACTAGTAGGTAAAGCATGTGGCCATTTCTTTATGGGCTGGGCTTTGTTTTCAAACCAGATTTATTTAAAAAGCAAATTTAGTATTTTTCATTATAAAGTACCTGTTACTTGCTGTGGTCTCAGCTGTCGCCTCTTTTCTGTTGCACTGGAACTGATTTACCTAAAAGTGCTTTCTGCTGGAGTTTACAGAAACACATTTTTCTCATTTACTCAGCTCTGTAAATGCTACCTATAAACACTTTGCTTGAGATAATTTCCCACCTCAATGTCAGACAGTTCCACCAAGATTTCTACATTTTTTTCAGGAACAAATTAGAAAAATCAGACAGCATTTACTTCACATATTTACAACAATACACAGTCTGTCCTATTTGACTGTCTTTATCAACAGTGTTATTAGATAACCTCTCACTGTCTGAACAGAGTCTGGTTTTGCACTGAAGAGCAGGAGAAAAATTGTCTTCTGATTTTTGTGACAGACCTTTCTGTAACAAGGAAGTTTCTCTCCCTCAGCTGTGAAATAAAAGCCAAAGAGAGTCCTGGTTCAGAAGTTCCTGACAGCTCTGGAGTCACACACACCACACCCAGGTAACTCACCCTCACCTCCAGAGTGCAGTGCTGCTCTTCTTCCCTGTTTTCTATTTTAGTAATTGTGGGCATTTGAAACCTGAAGAAAGAAAAACACAGATGATCAAGACACGAGTCATTTTTTAACTGCACCCGTCAGTCTGTCACTCCAATAAAACTGCACCAAACAACTGCCATTCCAGAACAACCCTTGCACAGCCTGTGAACTCCCCTTGCTCAAGCACCATTTGTCCACCACATCCAGCCTGGCAGGAGCAGAGGAGGGACACAAACAACAGCTGAGCTTCCTCCATGTGCTCCCAGCAGTGACAGCCCCACCCACAGCAGGTACTTCACCGTACCCCTTTCCCACTCCAGGTTCTGTGGAGTGGCAGCCCATCACAAACCCTGGGAAAGGGACCTGTGGAGGTACTGAGAGACACATTTTACTATGACTTAGGAAGCATTTTTAGAGTTGTGACACCTCCATGGTGACAACACAACAGTCACCAAAATTCTTTTCAATGTTTACTGGGAAAGTGCACTGAAAAGGGACTGTGTCTTAAACTGCTGAAGAGTCAGGTGACATTTTATTCTTCCATTTCAGAAGATTTAAAATGCCACTTTCTAGTAAAATCTTATGTCAAGAACAGCAATCAACCCCTTGCTTTGCTACAGAATTATTACCTGATTATTCCATCCACCTGTAAGGTGGGGAAAATGAGCCAGCAGGGCCGTGGGCTTCCTCACAGAGCCAGGGTGATCATCTTCGAGCTGCTACAAAGAAACTCTTTCAGTCCAAGTATTCAACACAATAGGAACAAAGCATTAACATGGTCAGAAAAGCACAACTTTTTTTTTGAATGCTACCTCTGACTGCAAAGCAAAGCAGCAGCAACGAGAAGATAAATACATTCTGCCTGCTTAATTTCTCCTTTTTGGTGCAAAACCTACGAGTTCAGTGGCTCAAAGCCTGTTGGAAATCCTTGGTCAACTGTTCATTTAAAATCACACTTCCTTCTTCAAGTTTTTAATCTACTACTGATGTTGTAATTCAAGTATCCTAAAAAGAGAGGGACTTTAGGATAGCAGCATTTTTACTATTTCACTCTGCAAGCTGTTCTTATTACACAGATAAAAAGGAAAAAAAACACCTACCTGAGTTTTCCCAAAACATGTGAGAAGCTTTACGTTCTCTTAAAGGAAAAATAATGTCAAAGGAATGTCAGTATCACATTTGAGAATAATTCGAGAAATAAACAAAATAAGCACATTAGCTGTAAGTTTAAAGGGTTAGTCAAATCAAAGCCAAAGCTCTCCCCCCAACAGTCTGACAAATATACCTCCAGTAACCTGCTTCTGGTTCAATGTTATTACATACTAATCAGTGAATAATGCAATTAAAAATATCAGGTAAGTTTCCACAGAATGAGACTTTCCTAAACACCATAAATAAAAAGCAAACTCCAAAAACTTTGGAGTGCAAGAGATGCGTTTTATTGTATGCCCGTTACGATGAGTAACACATTTAGAAATAATAATCCCACAGAACAGTGACAATCTTATTTTACAGCGTGTACATCATTTTTTATAGCCACATAAAACACATATTTGTCTAAGAGATTTCCCAAATTTAACTTTCTGAAGTTTAGAAATATAAAAAAAATTTATTCTCAAGGAACTGATTCTCATCTGGTGCAAAAACAAAACCAAAATATGAACATTATCTGGAACACAAAGCCACAATATAGCATGAAGTTACAATTTCTCATGTGAACAGCTGTGTGCAAACATGAAGCAACTAAAAAAGTAAAAAATACACATTATATGCATAACATTTATGACCAGGTTTTTCATTAAATAGCCCTAGACCAGCTCGTTATATAAGCGCCATTGGATCTGCAGCATGCTAACACAAAGCATTGTAAAGGGATGCATATTTTAAATGTATACACTGTAAACTCAAGATCCACCTCCAAACTCTAGTGGCAGCAGATTTTTCTGGTTAAATACTGCATATATACTTTCTTACAGATTGAAAATGCATGTTTATAGCATGGTATAGATCTTTTTTTTTTTTAAAAAAGAATCCACTGAAAGGTGCAATTTTATGTCTATATGGAAAATTTCCTATTAGGAGGTAGGACAGTAATTGTCATACCTGTTAAGAACACTGTCCTAAAGAACTTCTAAGTACTTTGAATTTTAATTAAAAAAAAAAAACAACTCTACAGTTTTCAACTGTTTTTAATATTCTTTTTTAAAGAAGATTTTTAAAGTAGCGAGAAAAAAACTAGTGTTGTCACAACACTATGAGCTGCATCCATTTTATCCTTAAAAAAAAAGTCAAATTCAAAGTTAATTTTGTTATATGTGCCATACTGAACAACATTCAACTGTAGTTTCAGATAAAAAAAGGGAAATTATGTACATATATATCTTTAACCCTAGCACCAGAACACCACCTCTGAGACCATAACATAGTGCTCTATTTCAAACATCAAATCCTGCAATAAAATAGGTTAGCAGCTTTGAAAACCAGTAAAAAAATGCTTCTTGGACCTAAACTAATAAAGGAAACCAAAAAGTTTCCTGATGAAATGTTCAAAAAAAAAAAAAAAAAAAATCAAACCAAACAAGGGACAACCCCCCCCAACTTTGAGCAGTTCTGAAATTCAATTTCTAGGCACAATTAAAACGTTGGGATGAAGTGACTGACTAAAACCCCCCGTTCAAAACTGCACAAGAAGTGAAGACTGGGCTCCTTTGCAAACCTTTTGTAACTCACCCCACCAAGACTCCGAACTGTTTTCATATTGGAGACAAATGTTACTGACAAAATGGGTCACACAGTGAGCTCTGCTCTGTCTTCTGTACTTAGCCATGGGAAATACTATTCACCTGAAGACATTCATCCATCTTCCTGCAACTTTAAGACATTCATCCAACCTCTCCATTCTATAGTGCTCTTTAGGTTCTGATAAGCAACAATCATAGGGCTATGAGATCCCCTGCCAACCCTAATACTTTTAAGACTTTTAATACAAAGAATGTAAAGTTATGGTTTAATATCAAGCTTTGAAACCAGGAGAAACAGTTCGTGAGATTTATTTTTTTCCCCAATTAGCATTATCACAGTTTCTACACCGCCTCCTCCTGCAGCTCCTCTGTCACATTATGGCCTCCTTGTGGTGCCTCATGATGTGCTGATTTTTCTCGG